ACAAAGTGGTGAAACAGCTACTGCTCCTTGCCACCCCAGACACCAGCCTAAATGGTCCCCAAGGGAAATTCTACCAAACCTTAGATAATTCCAGTGGATTTTAAAAGTCTTCCAGAACTAATGAAATTTCCAAATTATTTATATGATGTAATAACATCACTATTTAAGAGTGACAAATGTTGTACAGGAAAATGACACAGCAGCCTCACTTATGAACATGAATATGAATGTCCTTTAACAAAAAAGCAGAGATCCAGTAGCACATTAAAATATCATCTCTGGCCGGGTGCAGTCGCTCACGCCTGTAATGCCAGCACTTAGAGAGGCCAAGGTGGGTGGATCACCGGAGGTCAGGAGTTCCAGACCAGCCTGACCAACATGGTGAAACCGCATCCCTACCAAAAATACAAAACTGGCAGGGCATGGTGGCGAACACCTGTAATCCCAGCTACTAAGGAGACCAAAGCAGATAACTGCTTGAATCCAGTAGGCGAAGGTTGCAGTGAGCTGATATCATGCCACTACACTGCAGCCTGGGTGGCAGAGTGAGACTCCTTCTCAAAAAAAAAAAAAAATGTGTGTGTATATATATATATAATTAATTAATTTGAAGAATGCAAAGATCATGTATTACTAGTAACTCTAAATATGAGTCTTCATGGTGGTAGATTTGAAACAATCCTAGGATTACCTTCACAGATTCTGAAAAGGTCTTTGACAAAATTCAACAACCATTCTTGATAAAACACACACAGACATACACATACACACACAGCAATAGATAGCTATGTAAACATTTCTATGAAACTGGTCTGGTGCGGTGGCTCGCATCTGTAATCGCAGCACTTTGAGAAACCAAGGTGGGAGGATCACTTGAGCTCAAGAGATTGAGACCGGCTGGGCAACATGGCAAAACTCCATCTCTACAAAAACATATAAAAATTAGCCAGGCATGGTGGTGTGTGCCTGTAGTCCCAGCTACTCAGTAGGCTGAGATAGGAGAATCACTTGAGCCATGGAGGCAGAGGTTGCAGTGAGCCAAGACTGCACCACTGCACTCCAGCCTGGGCAACAGAGTGAGACGCTGTTGAAAGGGAAAAAAAAAAAA